TATATATAATTCAATATATATTTTTAATGTTACTTATATACATACCATCACATTACGATTTAGTAATTATGGAGTGCGTGATAGTGCTCTTTAACAAGTCTTTTCAACATAGACACAGCTTTAGCATCACGAATCCTAAAGGGAAGTGAATTCCACAATCGTACTGCGTTAACAGAAAAAGAATGAGAATAGAGCATGGTATTGAAAGACGGAAATCTTAACAATGTTCTAGTATTAGACCTACATGGTACATCTGGAGAATAAACAAAATTAAAACGATTTTTTAGATATAGCGGAATAGTAGGATTATGTAGAATATTGAAAAGAAGACAGAGGATACGAGTGTTCCGGCAAAGGCGAATTGGGAGCCATTTAAGCTGCTTGCGATAAACAGAAACGTGATCGAACTTCTTTAAGCCAAAAATGTATCGAATACATTAATTTTGCAAGCGCTCAAGTTTATTAATTTGCTCCTCTGTAGCATCCAGATAACATACATTAGCGTAATCTAAAATTGGTAAGATAAGAGTCTGGACTATGGATATCTTAGTAGACAAGGTAGAAAACTTTGAAGACGCTTTAGAGAATGAAAGGCATGAAATATTTTCCTACTTACATCCGTAATATGAGCGCCCCAAGTCAGATTGCAGTCAAAAATAACGCCTAGGTTCTTGGCAGTATCTAAGTAGGGAATAGTGGTACCATCAATTCGTAGAGTTTGGAGAGAGGAGAAATCAAGCAAGCCACGCGCATATCTTTTGCCTATTATCAAGGCTTGGGATTTATTTGGGTTTATTATGAGAACAAAAGATCTTGACTATTCGTTAATCTTATTTAAGTCATCATTCATAGCTTCAATCGCCAAGTTAGCTTCAGATGCCACAAAATTACGATATAACTGCAAATCGTCAGCATAGAGGTGGTAATTAGATGATATGACCTTAGTGATACAATTAATAAAAACGGCAACAAGCAGAGGAGATAGGACTCCACCTTGAGGTACACCCGCAGTTACATCATACCATTGGGAGTATATTTCACCTGAACGAACACACTGAGAACGATCTCGAAGATAGGAGTCAAACCATAGAATAACAGATCTAGACACATTAATCGACTTAAGGATACTTATAAGGATATCAAAATCGACAGAATTAAATGCACTACTGAAATCTAGTAGAACAAGAACTGTTAAAAATCCATGGTCCATATTCCAACGAATATCATCAGTAACTTTAAGAAGGGCAGTTGTTGTACTGTGACCAGGTCGGAAACCAGATTGATATGGACATAAAATATTGTTACTGTTGAGAAAGGCTGAAAATTGCTTGTGGACAATGTGTTCAAGAACTTTAGAAAGAAATGGCAAGATTGAAATAGGACGAAAGTGAGAGTGAGATGAAGGATTAGATATCTTAGGGATAGGGATAATGTGAGCTAATTTCCATGATGACGGAAAACAACAAGAAGATAAAGAGAAATTAAAAATGTGAGTAAGAACAGGTAGAAAAGAAAAGAAAGGATAGGCATTATCATATTAGAGCATACGCAGTCATTTCCAGCAGCCGTAGATGATATAACTGAAATTGATCGGTTAGTATCGTCTTCGGTGACTAAAGAAAAACCAAAAGTGGCACACTGCAGAGCTGGGTGCTTAGCCAATTCTAACATTGACCTAGCTTTATCACGTGCAGAGATAGAAATAGGAGGGCAAGAAAAATGTTGGTTGAGAATATTTAAGTCTATGTCTCCACTTAGAAGTGTTTCCAACGCCAACAGTTTTAAGAAATCTCCATGCTTTTGCGGGATCACATTTAGTTAGAGAGTCATAAAAATAACTCCTTTTTGCATCTCTGCACAAACGATTGCACCGATTACGTAGGATCTTATAATTTGTTAAATTACTCTCCAGTGGAAATCGCTTGTATCTTCTTTTAGCTTTATCCCTACGTGCCATGAGCTCCTTTAAAGCTGGAGTTATCCAAGGGGCAGGATTATGTTTTATTTTAACGCGTTTAACCGGGGCATGAATATCATATAAGTTAAGTATGATATTGTTGAAACTGTTCACTTTGTCATCTACTGTTTGGCTGGCAAAAACCGGCGCCCAATCTATCAACCTAGCATCACGTCTTAAGGCCTCCAAATTAATGCCCCTGTAACTTCGAAGGAATCGAAAGTTTGACTTACGCTTAGGAGGTCGAACACGGTAAGACAGATAGATAAGGTCATGGTATGAGAAAGAAGCAGTTAGTTGTCCATGGCTGGCAACATTATTTGGAGAAGATACTATAATTAGGTCAAGGAGAGATGGAGTACAATTTGGGAAGTGGTGAGTGGCTGAAAGAGGTAGGATCTGAAGATTAAAAGAGGACAAAAGTGATTGCAACTTATTTGTACGGTGGTCATTTTAAATTAAGCACGTATTAAAATCACCCATCAAGATAACATGATTATATAAGAGATTGAACTCACCAAGTAGTTTGTCAAATGTGTCAAAATAATTAACATAAAGGTTAGGACTATAAAGAACTCCTAGTAATATTTGTGTGTGATTAAGGGTAATTTCCAAAAAGAGGTGTTCTGCAGAATTAGAATATGTTTGCGGAGATGTACTGATCACCTTAAAAGGTATTTCAGCACTTAAATATATACAAACACCTCCACCACCCTTGCCTACTCGGTCATTGCGTATTAACACATAACCAGGAAGTGAGTATAGAGTGGAAGGAAGAGTAGGTTTGAGAAAAATTTCAGAAATCAAAAGAGCATCGAGATGAGTATTGCTAATGGATGCTAGAAGGTCAGAGTAGTGGCCAGGAACACTTTGCGCATTAATGTGCGCGATATTTAAATTTTCAGGGTATTGAGAAAATACCGAAGAAATGTGATCGAGCAGAGTAATTGGTTCAGACGACGATTCGGTGTCCACGCTTACAAAACTGTTAGTAGACGACGAGCATGAGAAAAAACTTTCATTAAGGTCTGATAAATTATTCATAGTTTATGATGATAATAATGAATATAATAAAATAAAATAACAAATATATATAAGTATAACTAAAAAAGTAAAAGAAAAATAAAAAAAAAACGACTAAAAAATTAATATTAAAAATTCGAACTTAATAACTCAACTCACTCTCTGGCGTGATGGAAGAAATTTTAAGTAAAATCTAGTGAAAAGAAAAACAAAAAAAAACGACAAAAGAAATAATTTTTGATCACTAACAAAACAGATCGAGAGAATTAATAAAAATTCTTCATAGTATTACTGCTAAACGTTTTTAATATCTCGTTAATTTATATCCTCTGTTTTTTAAAGTTAGTCATAGAACAAGTTTTAGGGTTTTTGAATGATGATAAAGTAAAAGCGTAGACATGTACATATAAAAGATACTAAAATTTTTGTAACAGCCTGGTCAAAAATGAAAACGTGACTGTTTTTAATTTTTTCTGATACCAAATTAATATAGATCACACAAATTAATTAATATGGAACATACAATTAAATAAAAATTTAAATCCTTTAGAATTACATCTCTAATCTTCTTAACCTAACGTAGAATCTTCTACAATAACTCAACCAGGTCAATAACTTCTTTTCGGTAATAGGATGATTTCTCGCCGAAACTATTATTAATGGCAGAAACATCCAAACTTCCACTAACGCAGTTATTTCTGACTCTCGGATAACTTTATTAAACTTATTAAATAGAGATCTAGCTGAAGTAGAGGGCATATTTATGACATTCGGTTTAAATAGTGCAACAGGATTTGATAACGCTCCGACTTTCTTAAGAAGTTTGAAAACGTTGTTGTTATTGCAATTAGTAATTTAATAACCTTAAGCTTCGGAAAAGATATATATCCATAGGCATTCAAAAAATTTATAATCACACCCATATACATCCACCCATCCATTACAGCCTAAAATAGTCCACTGCTGAACATAGGCCTCCCCCATAATTCTAAATATATTGACCCCACTTGACAAGCGGGTTGGCAATCGCAGTTACTTTAAAATTTTGAATTGTTATCAGGAAAATGCTGCTGCCCATTTTCTGTTGCTGTTTATCTCTGTTGCCTCTTAGACACCCACTCTTAGATACCTTTATGGGGTAATGGATATTCTTACACCGCCACTACACGGCCGTATATAAGTGTGAAACAGAGACGAAATAACTATTTATTATTGACCAATATCAGTATTAACGCCAATTTATAAAAATTATGGAAAAATATCTTAATCCTTTTGCTGTCCTGTGCACTACATATAGGTCATTACTATTGTCTTACTATTGTGTCTCAAAACCGTCCGGTTTTTTGGTGATAGTGTTAAATAATAGAGTGCTAGACTATCTTAATAAATTCGACTTAATTTCAAACTCACAGTATTGTCTTTTTTTTGTTTGGTCAGGGCTTATCTACTAAAGATTCTGTTAAGAATGTTAGGGAAGATACCTTACTAAATCAATTGTGAAGGAATAGTAGGCGTTAAATATTTATGAATGACAATCAGTTAAAATAATGCATTACCACGCGTTTTGAATTTTGAAAAGATAAAAAGAACAGAATGTTTGAGATTTTTTTAAATTAATTTTCCTTCACCATTTGCCTATATGACTTATTCTGAACCTTTTCTGCAAATTTTGCCGGTTATTGCAAAATAACCCATTATAAAAAAGACGTCAACTTTAGGAGTATCATTCGATAATTTATTGACAGATTTTACTTGGTGTCCTTAAATCATTTATTGTCTTATCAGAACAAGTATTTGACAAACACGCAAATGCTTTAAAAATAAATTCTGTCAAGCTTTCCTGTTCCAAATTTCTAAGTATGTTGGTGTCAAACGCATTTTAACAAGTGTTGATGAATTATTCAACGCTGCGCACTTCAAATATACACGTAACTGCAGAATTTTACATCAGTCTGTAACTTTAAAGCATTTATAATACTTTAGTATTTTAATGTACGTTAAATTTATGTCATATTCGCAGGTAGCTCACTGACACCGGTAACAGGAACAGTGACACGGGTCTCGTCCGTTGCCGGTGGCGATGCGGATCTTCCCTGCGACTCAAGACCGCCGCAGTATAATGACAGCCTTCTTCTTGTCGTGTGGTACAGAGACGACAATCCTGTTTACAGGTGAATGCTTACTTAAAAACTTACTTAAAATTACTTAGTGTTCGCGCAAAACTCTGTTGTCGGAATCGACACCAGATGTCACTCGGCTCGGCGCGATTCCGGTCTGAAGTTCTTCCGAGCGTGGCAGTGGCGCGCGGGTCGCAAGCGAGTCAGTCATCTGCCAGATGTGCTAATGTTTGCGCGCTGTTAATTTTGTGCGGGAACCGCGGAATGGTTGGGGCGTCTAGTGAATATCCTGTCTAGGAATTATAACGCGCATTCCCTGTTTGGATAGCCTTTCCCGGGACTTATTGGGTCCGACTCGGAATCTGTGTGGGTGCATTCGGCAATGTAAGCTGGTGCGGCCTCTGTGTTTGGAACTATCTGTTGCCACGCGAAGCGGTAGTGACATTTGACCCGGAACCTCCGGGCGTGTTTTGTGCGGTGGCCTTGTACCCCGCGATGGTTGGTGGCTTCTGTGGGCTGGTTAGTGGTACGATAGAGTTAAGTGACTGTCATCGTGGTGAACCAAGAAAGTGAATGTGGATAACCTCGAAAGGCCCCCTCAAGTTGGAGCGGTGTCGACGCTCGGGCTGCTGCCGACGGCTAAGGTCTAGGTTCAATCACCATCAGTCACACCCAGATACACACCACATCACCATTCTTTCCCTTGCACTACACAACCACATGCGACCTGACCGACTCCGGAGGGACCAGTCGCCTTGGATAGAGGTAAGTGAACTCCGCCAAATTCCTTCCGGTCGACTGGCCGTAGTATAACGCTCCCTCATATATTTAGTGTAATTAGAGAGATTCCACGTGGCACATTGAGCCCGACCTACGTCTGCTCGGGAGGACTTCAGCTCATGGGCCCCTGGGGATCTGATCCTTTAAGGGAGCAGCCGTAGGCCGTAACAACTGGTAGCAGAGCGCGGTTCCGGGTTCGATTCCCGGTCGATCCCGAACATAGTGTTTGATAAACATTAAACAATTCTGGTGGCAGGGAGCGTTGGTTTGATTGGGTTAATTTGTATTTACAATCACGCCCGTCCGTAATACGTAAAAATATTTTTTTTTGTACGTAATAATAGAATTATTTTCCTTTGTTGCTTTGTTGCTTGCCTTTTTTTTGGTTAGAGGGTAATTTGAAAAGCCGCGCCCTAGGTTGTGCAAGCGGGAGTTTTTCTAGAGATATACGTCATGTAGGTAGATGGTTATTTTTACGTAATCGGTTAATTATCGTTGTCGGATAGTTGTAGTGGATTACTTATCGAAGGGTCGATTTCCGAGCTAGGCATTTTTTGTTGATCAACCGTGATGTGTATCTTCGTTTGTACTGTAATTTGTATTTGAACTAAGGAGTAGTAATTGTATTTGCGTACTTTGAATTTAACTTGATTTCATCGCACTAGTATTTGTTATTTGTTAATTTGATTGTGTCTTTTCTTTTGAGCTAACTTGTATTTGGTTGATACGTAGTAATTCGTATTTGTGTAATTTCTATTCAACGCGATTTGATAGGAACTGCATTTATTAACTGTTAATTTTTGTTGTATTTTTTGTTTGTTATCTTTGTAATCTGTGCTCAAGCCGCGTCGTACTTTGTATTTAATAGTGATGACATCGCCTAAGCTACTGATCCGTTGTCTGCGGACTGAGTTGCGCTGGGCCACAAGCGCCCATGCTTTGATAGGTCGACCGGATAGGGTCCATAACTTGATGAAGCGGTTCGAGCAGGTGGATGCTCGAAGGGCCGCAGTGGAGGAGGCTTACGCTGAGCTCGAGGATTCGGATGTGGAGAAGGGAGTCCTGGACTCTTGCTTTGCGGACTATGAGCAGTTCTTGTGGCTCACGGACGAGTTGATCGAGGCTGAAGGCAGGTATGCCGAGGAGGCGCGTGAAGCTCGGATGAGTAACCTATCCGAGTCCTCTCTGAAGCAGCTTCAGCCGGAACTGTTGGGACGACTCCCAACTCTGGACCTGCCACAGTTCTCCGGGGTCCATTCCGAATGGCTGACCTTCGTTGGTCTTTTCGACAGCCTAGTGGACGCCCGGAGTGACCTGACCCCGAGCCAAAAGATGGCGTACCTCCTGGCCTCACTGGAGGGGGAGGCCCTGGGCGTCGTCGGCCACTTGAGATTGTCGGACGACGCCTACCAGACTGCTCGGGACCTCCTAGCCAGAAGATACGCCAACGTCCGGCGAATTGCAGACGAGCATGTTAAGCAGCTTCTAAGCCTCCCGCTGCTTAGTGACCGGGCCAGACTGCGTCCGGACCTGTTGGATCCAGTCTTGGTGGCCTGTAATACATTGAGGCGGCTGGGTTTACCAGTGGGCGAATGGGCTTTTTTGTTGCTCCGCATCGTGCTGTCCCGTCTACCTCTCGACCTGCGAATCCATTTTGAGGAGAGGTACAGCGGGGACGAGGCCTCCTATATTCCGCCCTTCTTTGACCTGCTGTGGTTTTTGGAGGAGCAGTGCCGGCAGATCGAGAACGCGGCGGGCACCGTTGACGACTTACGAGACGTGCCCAGTGAGAGGCTGAACCCGCCAGGCAAGTCGTCGTCAACCCCCCCCTGCTCCTATTGTCGAGCATCTGATCACCGGGTAACGTCGTGCCCGAAATTATTAGGTAAGCCGGTTCCAGCGAGGCGAACTATCGCCAAGGAGCGCCGCTGGTGCTGGTCATGTCTGGGAGGGCACCTCCAGCGAGACTGTCCGCATCGACGGCCCTGTCTGCATTGCCAGGGCAATCACCATGCCGTTTTGTGCCTGGGTGCGAACGGCATCTCCTCTCTGGGCTCTGCCAGGCCCTCGACCCCCACGGGTGGGGGCGCTCAGCCATGCCCTCTGCAGGGTGACTCTCGGCGCCCGCCGGCCAGCTACCAGGCCCCTAAGTTTGAAAGGAGTCCCTCCCCCGACCAGTCGGGGGGTAATTCCCCCAGGGGCGGGGGTGTCATCACCCCCCCTCAGCGTGTGGAGAGGAACTTCACGGCCACTCATCGGTCCGCTGGACCCTTCTCACTTCCGTTAGCTGAGTGGCCGCGACTGGTGTACCACGGTTCCCCATTTGATGGAGGCGGCCCTGTCTAGCTGCTGCCTTAGTTCCCACCACGGCCGCCTCCACTGAGCCTTAAGCCGTCAACAGTCCACTTGTCAAAATGTTCTGTTGCCGACGGCCTCAGTGAAGGCGTACAACCCGAGTGGCAACTGTTAAAGGTTGTGCTCTATTTATCTCGGGTTTACGCCATGTGGCCTCCCCTTGGTGGTGGGAAGATTAGGGCCCCCCTGGAGCGTTGAATCACGTTGTCAAGGGGTATTAGATTTGGGTTGGTCGAGCACTTAGTCAAAAAAAAAAATACTTGAATTAAAATTAAAAATTGCTTTGGGCTTTCCGCGAAATTTTCCTATTTGTAGCGGTTTAAATTAAAGGAATTGAATTTAATCTACTCCTTTAAATGCTACTGCATGTGTTTTGTACATATATTTAATCACTGTATTTGATTGTTGCGTCTGTTTGCTGAAAGGAAAATTTGAATTCATCTGAAATTGAATGGCGCACTATTTGAAAAATTATGTTTATGTTTATGATAGTGTTTAATCATTTTGCTTTGCGAAGAAGTAGGGCTGTCCCTTACGTTATTGTTTTGTTTAATTTGCAAGTTGACCTATGCGCATCGGTGATTAATTTGGTTGAATTAATTCTGTAGTTGAACATTGATGCTTTTGAAAAATTAGTTGAAATATGAGCATAGGACTACTTGCCTAACAGGCTAGCTAGTTTTGGAGATTATCAGATTGAAATCAGCTGCCGCACTATTTTAGTAAATGATAATATGGTGGGTGGCCTGGCTAGGCCTACTTGTTGAAAATTCATACTAGGGACTATCTGTGCGTTTCGTTTGGCTCTCCACAGACGACGTTCATGTGGAATTTGTGGGTGCGCTCTGCACTGAAGCAACTGCTGGCACAAAATTTGTCGGGGCAGCTTCGTGTAGCGTCGCTGTTTGCAGAGCTGATCCGGTCGGATTGCGGAACTAATCATAGGGGCACAGATAGGTGTTTGAAAGAGGTCGTCGGACTTCTGTCCAGTACAGGACTTATTAAAGTGCTGCGATGCCCAGGAGGGGCATCCAGTGGAGGCTGACCCTCCGGCTTGCCACATTAGGGATGTCTTTGAGGCGTTGATTAGGGTTGCAAGACCTAATGGATTGCCTAAGGTGTCCTAGTTTGGTTGTAGATTCGGTCTTGCAACTTGCAGTCTCGACCTTGTCCCGCTGACCGGTTTGCTCGCGGACCTAAATCCTTATGTCCGGGACGGGGGTTTGTTCGCGCAAAACTCTGTTGTCGGAATCGACACCAGATGTCACTCGGCTCGGCGCGATTCCGGTCTGAAGTTCTTCCGAGCGTGGCAGTGGCGCGCGGGTCGCAAGCGAGTCAGTCATCTGCCAGATGTGCTAATGTTTGCGCGCTGTTAATTTTGTGCGGGAACCGCGGAATGGTTGGGGCGTCTAGTGAATATCCTGTCTAGGAATTATAACGCGCATTCCCTGTTTGGATAGCCTTTCCCGGGACTTATTGGGTCCGACTCGGAATCTGTGTGGGTGCATTCGGCAATGTAAGCTGGTGCGGCCTCTGTGTTTGGAACTATCTGTTGCCACGCGAAGCGGTAGTGACATTTGACCCGGAACCTCCGGGCGTGTTTTGTGCGGTGGCCTTGTACCCCGCGATGGTTGGTGGCTTCTGTGGGCTGGTTAGTGGTACGATAGAGTTAAGTGACTGTCATCGTGGTGAACCAAGAAAGTGAATGTGGATAACCTCGAAAGGCCCCCTCAAGTTGGAGCGGTGTCGACGCTCGGGCTGCTGCCGACGGCTAAGGTCTAGGTTCAATCACCATCAGTCACACCCAGATACACACCACATCACCATTCTTTCCCTTGCACTACACAACCACATGCGACCTGACCGACTCCGGAGGGACCAGTCGCCTTGGATAGAGGTAAGTGAACTCCGCCAAATTCCTTCCGGTCGACTGGCCGTAGTATTACGCTCCCCCATATATTTAGTGTAATTAGAGAGATTCCACGTGGCACATTGAGCCCGACCTACGTCTGCTCGGGAGGACTTCAGCTCATGGGCCCCTGGGGATCTGATCCTTTAAGGGAGCAGCCGTAGGCCGTAACACTTAGTATACATTTTTAAGTAAAATTGTTAAAAATATACTGTTGAGTTTCCACATAAAAAAATGTACAATTTTAATGGCTTTCGTGTATTCTACACTATTAAAAGTTAATATGAAAAACGAAGATCATAATCGATGTAATATCAAATCTGCAACAGATCACAAAAGGACCACAGGGAAGAACCGTCAGCGAACTCTGGGTATTTTTTTTCTTAAATGCCATGTTACAATTTCCTTTACGAGATACAAAAGTATATTTATAATATAGTGATATCAATATGTAATAATAATGATAATACCGGTATTTTAGCGATGTTTTTTATGTCACCAAGCCATATTATTGCTTAAAATTAGGGTGGCACTGTAAAAAAGTTATTTCTAAAAAATTTTTTTAAATTTCGATAGTTGAAATTAATTTGGAAGTAAATATAATGATTTCTTATATTTACGCGAACACTACACATTTAAATAAAACTAATTTTACGGATTTTATCGCGTATATTAACTTATTTTACTTTCCCGACGTTTCAAGCACTTTACAGCACCCATGGTCACGGGGGGGACTGAGGTGTATGACGTCCCAATGTCATAGTTAACCACGGCTACACTCCAGATTAAAAATTATTAATTTTTGTTCCGATCTACGCAGTATGAACTTACAGTATCATGAAGTCTTGCAGTTGTATGCTTGGGTTGGGATTTAATTTTATTAATTATGGGATCCCAAGCAGATGGTAGCACCCAGCCATCTTCTCTATTGAAATTAGGATGTTTTTTGATTTCAATAGCCTCGCGAATCATCCTTGGAAGGAATCGGTGTTCTTTAGCGAGGATTTGTGGTCTATCAAATCTAATGTAGTGACGGGGGCGATCCTGTACGTGTTCACAGACTGCAGACTTCCCGGAGCGTCTATTCTTCACATCAGCTATGTGTTCTTTGACGCGGGTTTTTATGGATCTTTTAGTTTGTCCTATATAAGAGAGACCACATTCACAATCCAGCTTGTACACTCCTGCATCTTGCAGAGGAATATTACACTTGACTGATGGTAAAAACTGACTAATCTTCTTCGGCGGCTTGAAATATGTTTTAATGGAAGCACGCTTCAAGATGTAGCCAATCTTGTCAGTGACACCTCTGACATATGGCAGTACAGCAGGCACTCGCTCGACTGTGGCCGGCTTCACTCGTACACTGTGACGTAGGCGCGGGACCCGAAGCTTATTGTCGTGCAAAACTTGCTTGACGTGTTGGAGCTCGGCGGCCAGGTGTTTACTGTCACAGATCCCTCGTGCTCTCTGAAACAAAGATTTACCCACGGTAGCTAACTGTGAAGGATGGTGGTGAGAATCACCGTTTAAATATCTATCTGTATCGGTCTTTTTTCTATACACAGTGTGGCCCAAGGTGTTATCAGGATTCCGAATTACTAACACATCTAGAAAAGCTAAAGAATTGTTTGCCTCTAACTCCATTGTAAACTGAATTTTAGAATTTAAGGAGTTAAGATGGTCTAAAAATGCAGTTACTTTATCTAAAGGTAGAATTGTGAAAGTGTCGTCTACGTACCGCTTGTAGAATCTTGGCTTTATGGGAGAAGTAAGCAGGGCTTTCTCCTCAAAGTCCTCCATGAATATATCGGCAACAATGGGAGATACAGGTGAGCCCATCGCCACACCATCTACTTGCTTGTAGAACTCCTCCTTCCACAATAGGTAGCCAGATGTAAGGCAGTGTCTGAGTAATACTGCATATTCTACGGGCATGTTATTTTCCTCTAGCCTTCTAGTAACAATCGAGATGCAGTCTTCAACAGGTAGGCATGTGAACAGAGACTGCACATCAAAACTCACCATAGTTTCATTGTCTGCCAGATGTAGGTCTTTAATCTCGCTGACAAAATGGTAGGAATCCTTTGTGTGTGCTCTTGTATGTCCCTTGAGCGGTGAGAGTATATTCGCTAAGTGTTGAGCCAATCTGTAAGTTGGTGAATCGATTTGGCTCACTATAGGACGTAGTGGAGCATTGGGCTTGTGTATTTTTGGTAACCCATACAACTTCGGTGGTTTAGCACACGTAGGTATTATCGATTTTACGTCTAGATTTAATTTTTCGGAGTGTTTCTTTATGAGATCACTAGTTGTTTTAAGTGTGTTATTTGTTGGGTCATTTTTAACCTTTTTATACGTACTTGCATCCGACAAAAGTTCTTGTATTTTAGAATTATAATCTGACGTATCCATAACTACCGTGGCATTTCCCTTATCTGCGCGGAGAATCGTGAGTTCTGGTTTATTGCGTAGGTTAGTCAACGCTTTGAATTCGTCTTTAGGATACTGTAAGTTCATACTGCGTAGATCGGAACAAAAATTAATAATTTTTAATCTGGAGGTAGCCGTGGTTAACTATGACATTGGGACGTCATACACCTCAGTCCCCCCCGTGACCATGGGTGCTGTAAAGTGCTTGAAACGTCGGGAAAGTAAAATAAGTTAATATACGCGATAAAATCCGTAAAATTAGTTTTATTTAAATTGGAAGTAAATATTTAGGTTTTTTCAAAAACTTTTAAATTCAAATTCTGACATTATTAGATTAACTCATTTTAGTTAGTCTATTTAACTTATATTCCACTACCTTTTATAGTTACATTAAACAAAAACAAAACTTGATAATACATAAGCAGTATGTCATTTTAAGTTCAAGTATCATAGTCATGTAAGACAAATAAGAATCCAGAAAAATGTTATGAAATATGAATTTCAGATCATTACATGCAACAAGATGTTTATCGTTTACACATGCGAGATCTATGTGTTTGCAATTGTTTTGATTTCTGCAACCCTTTCTCTAATTGTTTGGGGCGAAATATCAATTCTTAAACATTTCATAAGATATTTTAAGACATATTATGGATTTACTAGGCATAAAGTAAATATTTTAAGCCATTTTTAGTCAAGGTGTATGGACAAAGCTACAAGTCTGCCTAGTGCCTACCCTGTTCCTTCGGCATTTGAATGATATAGTGTAAGCCAGTAACATTAATTGTTATGCATTTGATAGCACTGGCGATTCTCTATATACCGACTGTGCTAATATTTCTCAGGAACATGTCGTCAATTGCCGGAACAAACTTGTGTCCGAGGTCGAGCCTTTGTTAAACAGTCTCGGATTGGGGGTGACTAAATCTAGTCTAGCTCAATACCCAGAGGATAAAAGTTTGCGCGTTTACCATTAAAAAACGCTTTGTCGTATCTTGTTAATTTTAGGGCATTCCCCTTGATACCTCAGCCAGCATCAGAATCCTTGGCGTCGACATATCGAATGAAGTTTAATTCCGTGGTCACCTCGAAATGTTAAAAGCCGAGTTCTTCTCATCGGCTTGACTCACTGGTGTTGCCAATAGATATTGCATCCTTTTGCTGATTTTATCGCATGAATCAAGGAGAGTGCTCAGAGAAAATGTTCGGACGAATTCCAGTCCCTAAATTTCACCACCGTGCATCCGAAAACTCCGTCTTGAAATTAGAGCTGAACGCGGACGTCATTTTATTCGTATTCTTCTGAGCAAATCCTTTGATTTGATATCCATATCAAGAAGTTGCATAAAAATATTGTAAGTTATCTTTGTGTCCACCATATTTAATTTAGAGTTACGTAATTTTGATTGCGTATTTTTCTCAGTAAACCCTCTCATTTGATACCCATGTTGGGAAGTGCACAGAAAATTACTAGTCCGCCATGTTGGCTGGGCCGCCATATATATAGTAAGTAAAGGGACGTTAATCTAAATCTGTTTAGAATAACTTCAAAGGTCAATCAAGCCCTTTCATTTGATACCCATCTCATAGGGGTTGCTGTGGAAATGATAAATCGCCATTTCGTAACATCCGCCATATTGGATAAAATAGCGACATTAATATAATCGTGCATTTTTACAAGAAACAAACATGTGCACACATGTTTGTTTCTTGTTTGTTAATTTTAGTGGAAGTGGATGAAACATTGGTTTCAAAATTCTAGGACATACATACTAGTGAAGTAAAATAAAAGCTTTTAATAATAAAACGGCTTTGAAACATTTGAAGAATTTTAAATATAAAATGTATATATTAGTAGCGTTTCAAATGTGTCCCATCGGAAAAAATCATTTCAATTACATTAATATAATTTTTATACCAAACTAAAAATGTATTATCTTTTATGCTATCCTATTTATAAAGCAATAATTACCCTGCGACGTTCAGTTAAGTAATTAACTTTGTACCAACAGCTACGACACGAGAGTTCAAGGGCCCACCGCACACTGGACCGATGACGCGTTCGCCGAGCGTGCCCGCTGGCTTGGAATGCCAAACTCCGCTTTGCACCTTAGCAATGTGCAGTCACGCGATCGAGCAACTTACAGATGTCGTGTCGACTTTCAGGTTTCTCCAACACGAAACTATAGGATCGCACTTGACATTATTGGTAAGTGTAAGTTACAAAATATAATAATCTATGAAACTTTTTTGAAAAGAGCGCGTTACTTTATACAGAGTTTAATTTCACAGTGCTTGAAATAGAATTAAACAAATACTGAAGAACTGTGCTTGAAATTGATTGCGTATACTATAGTATTTTTTGTTAAATATGTTTAAAAAAAGCCTTACCCCCATACTAGGAATTTCTCCTATGTCGTGGAGGCAGTTTACAAACATAAATTGCACGAGGACAAATATCCAGATCCAAAACAATTATTTGTAGGCCATACAAATACTTTTTCCGTGCGGGATTCTAGGGTGTATAAGGTGCGGGGTTATAGGGTGAGCATTTTCTTGCATTTTCGGCGTAATGGGCTATATATACAATAAATTAAATAAGATACAATAAGAGATGAATCGAATACATATATACAAGTAATAAAAATATCATACGCAAATAAAAAATTACAATAAATAAGCAAGTTAAACATTCACAATGAGCCTTAGACAAGGGAGTCAGACCGTTTTGGGTTAAAAGATTAGTAAAGAAACCAAGAATCGACGTAAGCTGTAATAAATTCCACAGCTTTTTGCATTTATGGCCTGCTTCAGATATTTCAATCGGCTATTAAATATCTTAGACTTTGGACAAAACTTAGGGAAATGTATTTTATTTATACACCAAGACCGTGACACAGCAGTGCATGGCGGCAGAAATAATAAATATAAATTATAAGATATTAGGTATGTTGTTTTTAGGATTGACTAAAATAAACTATTTTGTGTTGCTCTGTAAACAAAGTTTTATATTTCATTAATTTTAAGTTCCATTACGAAACTTCACTATTACAATAATAACTAACACTCCTACCTGTAAACAAAGAAACGTAAAAGTTACAAATTAAAAGTTTATTTCTTAATATATCAATTCCCTTTGTAACAATACTGTTTTTAATAAACTTAAATTATAATTTTCTACAGGCAGCTTATCATTGTTCAACAGTCAATATGTTATTTCACAGATTCTATCTACACTACACAAATACAGATAAAACCACAGATAAATCACACAGACAAAATATTAAAGAAATACATTTTCTTTACAAATAGTAAGAGTTTGGTACCAACCCACACGGACTCAGTTTGAGACAAATCGATAACCTCTAGCAGTGACCCACTTGTTTTGTCTTAATTAGACAATGCACTGTTTCACCTCCTTTTGAATGATGCGTAGTCAAAATTTCTTTTCTATCATGCGATAGTAGTCGTATCGTTTTAGGGCTGCTTCCTTCCCTCTAACCAACTGTCGAATATCTCTGGAAACTTCGTGTTTTGAATGCTTGACACCCGATACTTACGAGATCATTCTTCGACCGATGAGGTGTATTGAGCCGATAGGGCACTCATCGCCTCATTGATCTCCTCTGGCGGGTCTAATTGTGTGGGAATTTTTTTTAGTGCTGAGAAGTCGTAGACTCAAGTTTGACTTCAAGCTTATGCCAGTCCACGGTGGTTTTAGTCTGAAAGACCTTACCAGCGGGATAGCCCAATTGCAATAAGATTGGCCTGTGATCCGAGCTAGTTTCAAAATTATCTCGATCGATGATATTGACAACGTGACATCTTTGCATATTGCTGCGTCAAGGATGTACAGTCTACGTATAGTAGAAAATAGGTAGCATGTTGGAGCCTCAGGCGCGATGACATCAAAGTTTATTCGCTCCATGAGATCGAACAAAATCATACCATTTCGACTTATTAGCAAACGAGTTCCAGGATGAATGTTTGCTGATTAGGTCTCCAGCTATTAAGACCCTGGGGCTTAGATTTACTAAATTTGAGATATTTAAACGCCGAAACAGTGGTTATTGGCGAATGGCCCGTCAGAACTGTCCTACAAATTGACACTTCTATATTTGTTAACGGGGAGCTTCGATCAGTACGCAGTGCAAGGACCTTTTGTAGTAGATTAAGGTGCCGCTTCTATTGTTGATCATCCTATCATTTCTAAGTAAGGTGTAATTTGCGATCTTAGGATTACGTTGGCTAGGCTTCATGAAGATCTCTTGCACGAGCATAACGTCTACATCATTGTTGCGCAGAAAGAGTGCGATCTCGTCCCTTTGTCTTCTGAAGCCGTTCGCGTTAAAGAACGCGACCGTGAGAAAGCGTGGTTTTTTTCTACCTAACTGTTGTACCGCTATTATGATATTTTAGTGAGGTAATTAGGCTCACTGGAAATACCAGATTGCGTCGATAAGTCCTATACGCACAATCGTTGTGTAGTTTGGTGATAGTTTGAGGTATGGATGAGGCCATTGAGAATGGTGCGGGGTTTGGGGCATGCTGTCGAGAGTGCGACACGCTGGCTTGACCCGCGCATCTGGAACGGCGTTTACCTTCGCGCTGCTTCCTTCGCAGCGCTTTGGAGTACCCGCGATAGTGCACAGCGTGTCCCTCTTCGCCGCAATTGACACAGCTCGGAGGCTCAACCGTTTCGGGCGTGCGAGTGCATTCAGTAGTGCCATTGTCACCTAGGCACTTGACGCACCTAGACCTGACATAGCAGTTTTTGGACGAGTGGCCGTATAGCTAGCAAACGATACCCTTGTTTTGTGGAGTTTCAACTGCAATCCTTGTCAAGTTGCAGGTCCACCGAACTTTGAATATCTCCTTGCCTTCTGGAGATAGGTCCACAATGACAAGGCACAAATCTAATAAGCGTTTATTGTGTGGAAATTGCACAGAATGCACCACCAGACCGGGAGATTTTGAGCCTTATAATCTAGTATAAGGGTGATTTCGAGCTCCTCGGGGAGTCCACGGATGACCACGCAAAAGTTACGTTCCTTGGGGAGGGTGTAGTGTGGAAGCTAATTATGGGGGGCGCAGGTGATTAGTCACTCTGCATAAGTCCTCGATTGACTCAACGAATATGCGGATGCCCAAATCGGCGTTTTGGACCTTCGATTAGTATATTTTTTGAGTTTAATCAATGTTAAAAAAATTGTTCCCTTCGGTTTTATCTTAAACTATGATAGTTGGTGGTGGCTTTTTCCTACGTTCAGCAAGGAACCTTTTCGGTGCAGGCTTAATCGCGGGCTTTCGGGGACGAGACTCGGTCACCTTTTTGGGGGCTGCGTGTTTGTGCTTTTTGCCATGGATGAGGGTGAAACGGCGTCTTCGGGCTCGGACGAGGCAAGTGTTTCGGTCTCCATGTCAGAGCCAGATTCAGCATCTGAGAAGATCGGAGAGGGGCCGCGGGTGGATTTCGCGGATAGCGTGAGTAACGCAGCGTCATATACCGACGCGAAAGAAACTGGGATTGCACTACCAGAGTAAGGGGAGAGGGGGTTGTCCAAATGCATGATAGGCTCAGGCGTAGCCGTGACAAAGGGATCGGCTGGAGGCGCAGACTCGGACGCAGGACGCGCGTTGTGCTGCCCTAAAAACACAGCCCAAACCAACCAGCGGGGCAGGTTTGATTAAAGAAGACGGCGAGTTCGTCGATTGTAATCGACGCCATCTTATCTTAATATGCTAACAGTAGTTTAGCACAGATTTGTACCCAGTATGTGCCAACAACGACGCCTATATATCTAGCACGTTGGTACGCTAGGGTGTGTATCTAGCTGTTGCCTTATGCCACAAGCAACACAAAAATTAAAAACGATGGCCGCCTTTAGGACGGCGGGTGTGTTTCACTTTACTTACGGTTACCAAGAATCCAGGAAGGAGAATTCACACAAAACGCACTTAGCACCACAAGAAGCGTCCTTTACACTACACAGTGAGATTGATGTCTTTCGGGACAGCACGTTTTGCGCACGACAATGGGAGCACCAACACAGTAACCAAACACAGAGCACCAAGCAATTCAGTGTATTTTAGGTGAGATATAATGTTCTTGCGCATAGACAATGAGAGTTGAGTGACGGGTGTGACGGGAGTGACTCAAACGTCTAGAGTCTATGGAGCCCAAGCGCAGAACCAATCAAAAACGAGTCTTGTCTGCCGTACCACTAGAGCTTTTTGTAAAGCCGTAGGCGCAAAGGGAGAGTAGCCCCCGCCCGCTGTATCAAATAACAAGCACCCGTGCGAGCCGTAGAGGCTGAGGCTGGTCGCCTTCGGCGACCAGTAAGCAAAAGCCGTGGAGACTATGGAGCATGAGCGAAGGTGTTTCATTTCCTGCAGCGCCAAAGCCATTGCAGAAGTACCTTTTGGTTAATATTCCTTTGAAAAAAGCGAGGTTATGGTATTTTACAAGAAAATATTATACACTTTTCCGCTAGGGCCGATAGGGCCCTGCACCTTCTCCAACCCCATCCCCTCCTACCCCCGTACGCAAGTACCGCATGTCTATAACTTTACCCAATGACTAATCCCAATGTTGCTATACCTGGCACGGTGGTGAAACATTGTCAACATCCTAACACAACTGCTACTAAGAATTCCTTAACGGAAAAATTCAATTACTGATTTCTGGGACTTCAATGATAAAAGAATGTGGTAAATGATTGAACGAGACATCAAGGTTCATAGGTAAAATGTTTCACGAAATACACATAATATTCTTCAAATCCGCACTTACGCTGAACGTACGAACCAATAAACGGATAAGAGTTGTTCATTTGAGTAAGCGATATCAGTTGGGGAAAATGGTTATAAGCCGCCTGCGATAGCTACTATTCTCTACTGAATACTCATATCGCAGAAGCTATTGTTTCGAGCCAACGACAACATTTTCATATCCCTCGGTTCCCTTGCCTGAAAGATGTTCTCAGTTTGTTTATCTGCAATTTAAAGGTATTGGAACATATGATGCCCCATGTTTTGTTTGCCGTATCAGTTTAATGATAAACAGATATCGAAGACGTGTGAATGCTTGTGTTAAATATAACGTAACAATAGTTGTCGGTATTCATTACAACACGCCTCTTAAATTAATTTTCGCAGCTACAATGAATAATTTTATTGTGAGTTATTTAGTTTCAATATTAATTATATTCTTCTCAGAATTACCTCAAATTTAATCAACTTGTTAGGATTTATTTTTAGTGGTATATATATAAGACAATGAATAAACTGGATAAATATTATATGAGAAGTGGTGGTATATCAAATTAACTTCTTTACAATATGTGTTAACACACCAAAAAAGGAAAAAAATAATTATTAAATTGTAATGATATTTACGGCCAGTCTAGTTTTTAATAAAAAGTTTTATTTTGTAACAATATCGTGTAACAATAACGATATTCATTAATCTCAACAAATGCCAAGCGATGGTTGTAGAAAGTTTAAAATTGCAAGCTAAAAGCGATAGGTAGCATTCCCTATAAAATTGCCTAACACCGTTCTTAACAGTTAAGAATCTCGGCTTGTATATGGATAGTACAATGAGTTGACATGGCACTAAAATAACTTGTCAAGTCTCCACTACTTTCTGATCTCTTTATCGCTTAAAATTTCTCCCCTCTTAGTACAAAGTTAACGCTTATGCGGTTACTCGTGTAACCAATAATTGATGAATATGCTGATGTGTGTTACACAGACTTGAACAAAAATCTCCTTAATAAGCAACATTCTTGGACTTCTTAAATATGATTTTCTGTCTTCCGTTCTATATATTTTGTATTTATATTATGTTATATTTTACATAATACTTAATTTTATCTACAATATTAAAAACTATGATAGTAAACAAAAAAACTAAAACTAGAAACTTAATTATCATATAGTCCTACTCCCCGCGGTATCGTGCCAAGAACGCTGGCTGCGTTTCCCCGCTGAATGGCTATACTTAGCCTTTGAGCGAGGAAAGAACCAGCCCTCTTATCACCAGCAGCAACGACCAGCCGCGGATGGAGTTCCTTTAGGAACTTCACCGCACGTGGACCCCACGGACCGATAGTCTCTACAGCAAATGGCACAAATATGTAGTCATCTTTCAGAGACTCATATTTGCGCCACTTACTCAGTTCAGCTGCCTCTGATGCCGCCCCGGCTTTAAACGAGGTACCCCTGAGATAAGAGGCCGCCAGAGTGTCTACGCAAGTAGCATCCCACACTAGGGCTTTACCTCTCTCTCAAGGGACCAATGTCATACCGTCGGGTCTCTTGCCATCGTCTCTAAATACTCCAGGCTCTAAAACCGAGGGAACATTTATAGAGGCAAGAGCCCTTCTGATGACATCGTTCAAAGAACTGTGTCGTGAAAACCCAGAAAAAACTTAAAACCTATATTATGTTGTATATGTGTATAGATTTATTGGGTATTTACTATGGGTACTTACACCCAATAATACTTCATCATCATCATCATCATTACAGCCTTTCATAAGTCCACTGCTGAACATAAGCCTCCCCCAAGGAATACCACAAAGCACTTTCCTGAGCCACCTGCATCCATCGACTTCATGCATATCTGAGTATATACTTTTTATTAATATTACGTTGTTAGTTGAAAAAAATCATCCTTTTTGCGCTTGGCATTATATTTCACCGCTCCCGGGGTTGACTGGGTGAGACTTCATTAAGTTTGCCCTTTGTGACCCTTTTAATTAATGCGATAACAATAAAGTGTATATAAATAAATAAACAATAGCTGATCGTCTATTCAAAATATTAATGTCTTTTCATTGGATTTCAAGTGAACTTTAATAGAAGTATAAATAGACTTTTGTTACGCTAAGTATCTTACTATCTAGGGAAATATATAATAGGCAAACACTGGCTTGAAGGTAAAGATGATAAATTTCTCGTGGACTAAAAACCGGAAAACTTTTGAATATTTGAAAGCTATCAACTTCGCTGGAGATATATAGTGCTCACACCATTGAGGGAGGCATTCCATCTTAGTCCTCAGAGGTGACAACGCGTGTATCCGTCTTTATTTGAAGTTGGTAACAGGTCTCCATGGTTTGCAGTAACTTCTTACCATCAGGAGATTACAAGTTAATTTGTCACGTCAAAGAGAAATCCTAACACCGTACCCGATGTAACGCTTATACGATAAGAATTAAAGCTGGCAAGGATATGTATGTAGTGTCAGGGATATCCTATTACAATGCTCCGACTGTAATTTGAACACAGGATCCGCGGCAAAGTAGGAACTTTCCCTCCCTAGACCTGGAAGTTGTGTTTTCACTCCTGAACTATTATATGGAATGCTTTGTTTCCATTTAAAAGGTCTCCGGGTCTCGTAACTATACGAAACACTGCAGTATTATGCTGTCAATTTAAGTTTGTATTTAACGTCCTATTCCCTTAATCGTGGTGACTCATACATGTTGCAGTAATAATGGGGTTCAAAGTTAATTTTAAAAAGGTCTTTATTTAAGGAGTCGGAAGAAATAGGTAATTGGTTAGCAAACCATGGCTAGCATACATTATTAAATCAATCGGCAATTTTTGACATTCTGGACGGCTGTAAATTTATTAGTACAGGATATTAATTACATAAGCTGCAAAGAGTGACTAATGTTTATAAAATTTTGTTAAGCATTTAGAGGTTAAACAACTAAAAAATAATAAAGATTATTATTATTGTTAAAAAAATGTACGCCAGCCGAACTTTAACCTACTGTCGCTGATATTACTTGATACGTATTTCCGTATTTTTACCAATTTAATAGCACATCTAAATTTAACCAACTACTGTTGGCCGCACTTAGTTCCAGCCGGCTAGAACTAGGTGTAACCACACTTCAGCTTTTAGCCGTAACATATTTTTACAAATTTATCAATACACCTAAAATTCAACTAAGTACTGCTGGCCGCAGTAGTTGTTAATATAATTAAATTAAATATCTGCTTATAGACATATTTTCTTTACTAAAAATCGTGAATCTTGCTGGTCAATTAAGTATTTTGCGGATTGACTGTTTATTAGGCAAACTCATTTTATTGTAAGCTGCCTATTTATAATTAAATTACTGAACGTTATCAAGATTATTTGCGAAATAGGAATAGCCGATTTTTTTATTGCAAACATAATCTTTGAATTCTACTTAAATGATTTAAATGTTTTTTTTTTTTTGTAGCTAACCAAATTTTATTACGACTTAATATTTAATTACTTATTTTTAATATATTATAAATGAAATTGAAAATATTTATCAATTTTATTTTGGTTTATAATCAGAACTCCCAGGCAAGCCGGTAATCTTCGACGAATACGGCAAGGAAATATCAGATGTAGCGGGACCTTACTACGAGGGAAGTGATTTTAAACTAATTTGCTCCGTAAACGGAGGTAAGTAGTTACCGTATTCACTAACTTGACGGGCTTAATACTGTTTGCATTACTTATTCTAATATAATCAAGACTCGGTAGTAACATATTGAAAAAAGAACTTTTAATTCATCACTACAATAATAATTTCGTAATCAGTGGGATTGATGATAGAAGTAGCAGTCCTCTCGATACTGTTTCATATATACCTATATGTTTCCTGCATGCTATCCATGTATTGAAGATTGTATCAGAATCTTTTTGATAGTGTTCTTGGTTGATTTAACAACTCTCTTGGCTCGTTATCAAAACATAGACCTTCCCATAGATTGCCTTATTATAACACTGTAATAAACCATTTGTTATTCGCTTTTTCATTAGAATTTTCTCTGGCCTTCTGAATCAATTTATATAATAAACATTCTAAGTTTATTTCTAAAGGTTTAAATAAAGGCCGTTTAATAAATTTACGCCGTGATCGTCTTAATTAGGTTCCTTAACTTAACATAGTTATTTTAAGGTGTCTCTTGGAAGCATGGATATTCACGAGAACAACTGAAAAATGTTGGTAGTGCCTTATAAGTTAAAGAACCCTACTACAAGACTATAAGACAAGACTCAAAAAAGTTTAAGAACAATAAATCGTCCCTTTTCCACTTGTATTAGGTTCACATCAGTCAATTCCTTATTAATTAATCCCTTCCCGCTTGGAAAAGGTTCACAATATTTATATCAATAACCAGATACAAGAGCTTCGCTCTACCACCTTTTAAAAATGTGGGGGAGGCACACGGCTCCACAAACGCCTTGTGCGGTAAGCGCCACCAAGCAACGCGCTCCCGAAGGGGACGTTAATTTGGGATCTGGACCGTAGTCCACAACAAAATGACTGGCAAACTAGTAAAAGAGGGCTTGGCCCCTTGGCAGTGCGTAAGCACAAACATCGACCGAAGTCGCGCGTGTCAATGCGTTTAAACGCCATACTGAATACAAGCAAATCCAGTCACAGTGAAGGTACGTCACACGGATTAGGTAAAAATAGGCACACTGGCTATAAGAAACTCTCCGTGAGCGCCACCACCTGCCAGACCGCCGTTCCTGCAGTCGTGATGTAAGTGTAAGGCATCACCACCAATTGCATGACCAGCATGGATAATTAGCCGCAGAGCGTTTCATAAGTCTACCGTTCACCTCAAGGGAAGGGGGTTCTACGTTGCGCGGCTTTCGGCCGCAGTCTTAAGAGCCTCTTCAGATTCTCCCTCCAGCTACCACCCGCATGAGGTCGACGCATATGCTCCACCAACCATGTACTGGTGGCATGGCACTATGGCACATATATATGGCAGATATAGATAATAGGCAGTTATAAGATAATAGTAATAATTCGCTATCAGAAAGGGTTTGTGTCACTGACGTAGAGTATATGCATTTTTCGATCATGTTTGTCTAAACCACCAACAAGTTGCCTTCAACCATTCAAAGGTGAGAACTTTACTGAGATATATTATTATGTTGTTATATAAAACATCATGGAGGTCAGACAGTCTGCAGCCCTGTAATGAAGATACCCAACTTGGTCAAAGATACTTAGGTTGTGAGTCAAACCAAGACGCAGAAAGCCATTGAAAATAGCGACCCGCTAGACAACCATCGCAGAGATGCAATTCTGCAGAATGCAACAAGCATCAATACGACTATCGTCGGGCTTTCACCATCCCAAGGTCCCCCACACAATCGCAGCAGACTTCACCACTCGCATACCTCCATCGACTAGAACCACAAGATGAATTGAATCAGGCGCAAAACACCCGCAGATCAATCACAAGAGGCAATACTGCAAGTAGCAGTAAGCATCAATGCACCTATCATACGGACGGCGCCCCCTCACAACACACCCACATGATCCCTATCGACGTTGGTAACAAAATTGGTACTGTTGTGAAATAAAAATACCACCAACGTATCATAGTATCACGCTACTTAGACGTCAGTAGCCCAAACTCCACGTATCATAGCGCTATTGTACTAAGAAATGGAGTTGAGTATGCTTGCTGCACTTAAAAGTACTACCAAACATACTCACCCTAATCCGAAAGACGAAGAAGCCGACGTTTCATAACGCTATGTGCTAAAACGCCGCCCACAAACGGTAGTGGTGTGCGATGTCTATAGAAAAGTAGTGTTGTTACAACAAAATCGCTTACCACCGGCACTAAGATGATATTTCTTGGACAAATCGGTCATCAAGTCCAAATTTCAGCTCGGTCTCGGATGCTGTGAAGCAATCTATACCCCACTATAATAACCATTTTCAAGTCCCATTCTATCCATATTTGAGACCTTCCACATATTTGCTTTATTTCATAGACCATACTAACATATATCTTATACATATGGGACATCAAGTCATACGTCTGCTATCATAATGCTTATACATCTTAAAGACATCCTATTTTAATGATTTCTTATATTTACGCGAACACTACACATTTTTAAATAAAACTAATTTTACGGATTTTATCGCGTATATTAACTTATTTTTATATTCCCGGTAGGTAGGTATCTCCGACAACGCCTTCATATAAGATCTTAATAATGTGAACACCACACACAATATCATGACATGAACACCTTCCAAAAATACAAGAACACTCTCATTAACTTAAAATTTTTGACCCATTTTTCAATTATATTACAAATGTTATTTATCTTTATTATTGCAATGTAATCGTCTTGTACTTCTATTATTTATTGCATTTTGAATATTTTCAGCACAGTTTTCAGCACTTATTAATTGTTGAAATTATTATAAATATATTTTAAATGTCTTTATATTGAATTTAATTGTTATTTATTAATAATAACAAAAACGAGCCGTCACAATATCAAATACTGACTCACTAATAACTTTCTTACTACTAAATTAATTTATTACGAAATTACATTTCGAGGGAGGCTTACGCTGAATATTGCAATTTTATAGAGTATCAGGATTAGAAAACACTATTCACTATACTTTGGTAACGCTTTTTTCTATTACATAATCTTTTGTTGTGTATATTAATTGCGATTAAAATGTTTAATCAATTCTGAATAAATACTATCTACATTGTTGTTGTTACTTCTATAATATGTTTTTTTCTCTGAATGTTTATAACTTATTTTAGTCATTTTTATTGCGTACTTACCATGTAATGACAAGTAAATTAAAACCTGAAATTTCTGTCTACAAAAAACAGACGCTATTGCTAAATTATATTTATTTGTATACGTATATTTAACAGTGATAAACCCACGTGGTAGCTTTCACTGTCTCACAGATGGGCCGGCTCCAAACCGGGGTGGTACTACCACCTCACAGAATACCAGAAGTAGAAGTTTAAAAAATAAAAATAATCCCCCCCCCCTTAAAAACACCCCTGGTGACGGAGAATCCCTCGCCAAGCAACCTCTGCCACGCTATCCGTGAAGTTTTGCAACATCAGGGGACTTCATTCAAACCTTAACGCCGTCCACTACCATCTGGAGACGGCGAAGCTCGTGCCGTGCCGTGCTCTTTCTAACCGAGACACAGGTGTCCTCTCCGCCTGATACTTCGTATCTCTCTTGCCCGGGGTACAAATTAGAACACTCCTTTGTGCGCCGAGCTGGAGTTTACGCATACATCAGAGAGGACATCTTTTTGCGACGCATCGGCAGTCTTGAAGATTCAGACCTATGGCTGCCTTCAGGCCTATATATCCTATGGCTGCGCGTAGACAGCAACGACCATTCCCGCGTCTACAGGTTCCTCTGGAGGTCCCATAGCGGTAATGCCAACACAGAGCGACTCATGGACCACGTCCAAATGGCTGCAGACTCTGCGCAGAGATTTTATATTTTATATAGGTGATTTTAACGCTCACCACGCTGAATGGATTAGTTCCCGTTTAACAGATCATGCGAATGGATCTGTTTATGACTTTTCTTTGGTATATGGTCTGACACAACTAGTTACTTCACCTACGTGGATCCCAGATGTGGAGGATCATGCACATTTACTGTTCTACCTTCTGTTGACCTCTCATACGGAAGGAATCATATAATAGTCTTCGTCTATGTCCCTCTTGGCTATTTGTTGCGTTCTGCAGGTTGCCACCATGTTTAACACTATATATTGGCCGATTGGGATGCGATGCGGTCTTTTTTTGCATCCTACCCTTAGGTGCGATTTGTTCTCGCCGGATGATCCCAAAATTGTTGCTGATTCCGAGCTCTTCCTAATCGGCTTGGCTCATTGGCACTGGCACACGAAAAGATGTTGCATCTCTTTGAGTATTTCATCGCATCTACCGCGGGGACTACTCTGATAAATTTTTCGGACAAATTCCAACCTCTTAATTTCATTCAACTTTTCTTCCTCGCACAACTTCCTTGGGGAAACGACTACCACTAACGATTTTTCCGGAATGATACGACTTAGGAACCTTCAAGAAAAGAGCCTACTCCTTTTTAAAATGCCTACAACGCATCTGCGATTCCCCTAGTGTTGCATTTGGTCATGGGCGGCGGTAGTCACTTACCATCAGGTGAGCCGCATGCTCGTTTGCCCCATCTCCTATAAAAACACATATATACAACTATACTATTACATATAAGTAAATCAATTACATGGTATAAATTTTTTAACTAAATTTACTTAAAGTAATATAACATTCATTTATGTCAAACATCACAGATATGTAAAGATATTATTAAGTTCTTTAAAGGCTATTTCAGTAAAAGAGCTATGTGCTATTTACATGTTACTGTATTCTTTCCACAGGTAATCCTATACCTCGAGTGCAATGGCTTCAGGGCGAGACGGTTCTCGCTACATTAGGTGTAGGTGAAATTCAGCTAGGGCCAACACGATCGTTGACCATTCATATAACAAATGCAACAAGAACGCATTATGCAACTGTGTATACATGTGCTGCTGACAATACTTTGTTGGCTCCGCCTCAACGATCAACGATCCGGGTGGATCTTTATTGTAAGTTTATATTAAACACGCGCACACACACGTTCCATCAAGATAAATTTATTAAATACTTACTTACTTATAATAATACTTACCACAACTTAATAGTAAACATGGAACATTATTATTAAAATATGTATTCCAATCTTATATAATTTTGTATTTGTCAACCTGTCATAGGGTCTCCCTCCCAGTTGAAATACATGTTCGTCGCCTAGTTAAGACATCAATATCTCACATTTCTTTTTGCCTATTTTGTGTCAAAAATCGAGATTGTTAAAATAATGTCGTGAGAAATAAATAATAATTATTATTAATAATTCACATGAATATTTTTTTACTTTTTATTAAGTAACTTAAGCTTCTGTTTTTTTTTTTGTAGAATATTATATTCGGACGACTGAGTTTTAATTAAATAACAATATAATATAACATCAAACTTACTAAACTAAGCAAAATTATGTAATGTCTATTACGCTAATATCTTTTATTTCGTAATATGAATCTATAAAACAACAACAAAAAAATGGAACGATATTTTTAATAAAGAGTCGAACCAGTCACAATAGATATTTGTATAAGTACTTATTCATCTAGGGACAGATATCAAGAAGTTACAAATTGTCCTTATTTATACTGAATTTCTTATTCCTTGCAATTACTGAATAAACCAAACATATAGTAAAGCATGTCATTTTTGTTAAAAATTTTCGAAAAAAAAAAACAGTTAAAACTTTTTTCTTCGATTCGATTCAAATAAATTTTTGATAACTTTATCTTTTATTAATTCCGGAACGTGTAGTAGAAAAATAATAAAGTAAAATTGCTTTAGGTACTCGTATGTCATCGGGCGTTATGTGTGGCCTCATTCTGAATATATGTGTCACGGACGATACGGTACTAATATAATTTTACTGTGGTCACTTTGTGAATGTTTAATTACGTGGAAGAAACGATGATTTCTATTACAAAACTAATACTAAGATTTTTTTAAAATAACTGAGGTTGCGATTAAAATTATGCTAGTATAGAAAATATCATATTACTTTTTTTAAAGAATAATGGTGACAAACGAGCACAAAGTTCACCTGAGATGGTAAGTAGATGATGTGACCTATAGACATCTACATCGATCATTGTTTAATAAAATGCGTTGTCAGTAGGAAACGTTGCGTTTTCAATCACAAATCAGTGTTCAGAAGTGACTAAGCACCTCGTCGCCTGAGGACTAGGATGGGATTCCTCATTTTCATTAAAAAGGGTATCCGGTTCTCAATATTGACCATACGATACACAGCACGGAGCTGATATTTTACGCCAGCATTCCGTGAGAGCATGGCCCTTTCCAGTTCGAGCCGACCCATTCGTGCTGCAACCATAATATAACTGCAGCATGGTTCTACTATGTACATTATGTGAAACATGAGTACAAGGGTATCTTTTTTTGCAAATGTATATTATGATTTTAATAAAAGTATGGTTTTACGCATGGATTTTATTAATCTATTCGTAAAACATTCTTCTCGTCTCGACTATAAATTAAAAATAATTAAAAGCTCTTTTAAATCCATTTACTTATAAAATCAAGGTTGAAGTATAAAATATTAATAGAATTAATATGTACTTAAATGTTTTTATTGATAGTGCGACCACTAACAGTTGAAATACTTTCGAGAGAACAGCCTCTGTCAGCTGGAAGAAAAGCCGAACTCTGGTGTAAATCTGCCGGAGCAAGACCACCCGTCACTATAACATGGTGGTTAGGAGGCAAGAAATTAAATCCTGAGACAAAGCAACAGGTACTTATTATGTATATATTTGTATCGTATAAATGTATGATACTAATATAGGTAATATGACGAGCTTGTAACCGGCAGAAATTAAATATGTTTTTCCACCTTCCAATATCTTAAGACATTTAAATCGTTATTTATGCCAAAGAGATGTGCGGCTTCGATGTTGCCATTTATTTAAAATAATCTTTTAATATAAAATGAAACCCAACTTCAAAGATCGAAAAAGAACAAAATAATTTCATATCCTGAAATCGGTGCTAAGGCACATTTAAAAAAAAAACGATTAAAGCCACGACTTCATAGTGATAAACTATTTTATTCTTTTTAGTTCTTTTACGTTGGGTTTTACATTTTAGAAGTAAATTTTTTACCGTTTAGAGTGGACTAAGGGCTAATATCACAATCTCAAAGTCGTATAAATTGTTACATTTAAAAACTGAATCCCCTATGTCGCCACAATTTGAGGTAGTTTCTTTCCAAATTTATATCTTAAAATCCCTTAAGTATAACCTATTTAATATAGAAAATAATTATAATCAGTTCATAATTGACGAACATATCGTGCAAAATGCATATTAATAACATACAGTTGAATTGTAAGTCTCCTTATATTTTCTTTATAAGTCGGCTAAAAATAATAGATATTATATTAACAGATTGGGATGGAAGAGGGAAATGAGACTCAATCATTACTTCAATGGACTCCATTGAAAGAGCATAACGGTCAAATACTCGCATGCAGAGCGGAACACACAAAGTTCAATCAATCAACGATTGAAAGTCGATTGAATCTGAATATATACTGTAAGTACTACTGCACTTGACTGACTTGACTTGTATCAAAATGTATCGACAGTATCATTTATCATCATTTCTCATTATAGCCTATCATAAGACCAATGCATCAAATGAACATTGGCCTCTACACCTACTTCATATAGGGCCATATTTACCGAAGTTTTCACACTTAGCAGGCAGGTTGGCAACTGCAGTATTTATTGTCTAGTTTTTATTTTTAAAACGCTGCAGCACATCTGGTTTGCTCCAATCTGTCACCTCTTACGATACCCCTGGAACGGTTTGGGGTAAAGGGATATTCTTACACCAATACTACATCATGGACAAAATTTACAGAATATTGTTTTATATACTAAGGGTGACAATCAAGCACACAGTTCACCTGATGGTAAGTGAATTCTGTGTCTCATAGATATCTACATTTATCCTCGATTAAGAATCAATATGCAGATGCGTTGCCACCCCTAAGGACTAAGATGGAATGCCTCGTATCCAGTAACAGGGGTATTCAGTTCCTATACTCACCATACGTGAAACACCCGGATTAAGCTGCTATTTTAGGATGGTATTCTGTGAGAGCGTGGTTCTTCTCCGGTCGAGCCGACCCATTCGAGCTACAACCATAATATAGCTACGCATGCCCGCATGCGTTACGCTCTACCGCGTTGAAAGCTTAAAGTTAAGATTATAAGTTAATATGAAAACTAAATTTATTTTTATTTCAGCGAATGTTTTGCAATATCCCCTTTAGTATAGAAAACAAAACAACAGCCCTATAATTAAAGTTATAAAAATAAATAAAAACAATGTTTGAAATTCAAATTATTCCTTATAATTAATATATATCAATAAAGAAAATCAATTATTTATCAATATTTAAACAAACAAAATATTGGTACAAAATAATCACATTTAAAATCCGAGTATTTGATATTATTTAATGGACCGATTTAATAAAGTCATAATAATGTGCACATAACCTATTCTCCCTATTGTATGTTTTTTACGTTTTTGTTTTTAATGTTAATATTATTATATCAACCAACACCTTATTTTAGATTACAAATAATATCATAATTATAAAAGAACGCAGTTGCGGTGAGACTCCCATTGGCAAGCGATTCCCACCATAGATACAAAATCGCACAGCAAATCCAAAATATCTTATAAATAAATAAATACCTGACAAATGTTGACAATGAATGAGATTCGAACCCAGGAGCTAGATACTCTGTTTACACTGATCCACTGCGGTTGCCGGTAATAAGTGATAATTCTTACTCAGATTATTAATATAATATAATTTTACGGAACTACGATATTTTAGTTAAACTTGAACTTATAATGCCATTTTCTAATCAACATTCACAATTTGATACAGATATACCAATCGCTAGAATGCACTATGGTGCAAAAATCAATCCGAACGACATTGAAGAAGGCGATGACGTGTACTTTGGTTGCGAGGTCGACGCAAACCCGCCCGCCTATAAAGTAGTCTGGGAACACAATGTAAGAGGCTTTTTTCTGCTTGTGATAGGTGATCGATATCAATACTTAGCAAGTAGTAGCATATTATATTGTTGACAATAAGTCTATGGATCTGTTTTTTTTTATTTTACATAAATCAAATAACAATACAGACAAGCCTATACATTAGTAAACACGAATGATTCATAATATTTTTCTATTGCTGCTTATAAGTATGCTCGAGTTTCATTTATTAATTACTGTTTTCTCCTCCAAACCAGTTCTTTACTGGCTAGTAAGTGGTGAATCTGCTCTTGAGATTGTAATTAACATTGTGGTGCCGGCGGAAATTGATGTCGGTTTATTCGTTTAATATAAATTTAAGGTACAATCAGCCACTAAGTTACTATTTTTTTTTTCAAAAAATTGGTTAATTATAGTTTATAATACATATAAATGCAATTAAAAGAATTTAATATATTTTAAACAAAATTGTTTTTTTTATTTTATAATCAAACGCATGTTTCTTACAACACGTTATATTTTATATATATTTTATTTTTAGTTAGTTAGTTACAATCTATATACGTCCCACTGCTGGGCACAGGCCTCCTTTTATTTCTGCGAGGGTTTTAGGGCAAGGAAATGTCTGCCGCGCTGCCCCAATTAGTGTTCGCGAACTTCACATGTTTGTGTTCGAGATATTTTTTTATTTCTCACACATACCGGTTTCCTGACGATGTTTTCATTCACCGTCGAGCACGTGGTAAATCAGCACTTAAAATTGCTATTAACAATTTCATTGATGCCGGTGGGGATCGAACCAAGTTTGTTCGCGTACTGTGAAATTTACTTTTTCTACTTGTACTGTGATTGTTTTTTAATTTTTCTTAATTGTGTCGGTTCTCTATTATTGTGTTATTATTTTATTGTGAATATAGTAAATAGAGAAGTTATAAATAATATTTTTAAATTGGTTTAAAGTAGGTTAAAGGTATTAAATTTTACAGGATGTTTTATTACAAAATAATCCATCCAACGGCGTCATACTAACGGGTAATACGAACCTCGCATTACGTAACGTTTCCCGACATCAAGCGGGAAAATATACGTGTACTGCATCAAACGTGGAAGGCGATGGAAAGTCGCCTCCCTTACACCTGCAAGTTGTTTGTAAGTGGATAACGTCTACATTTTTAAATTTACGTATAACTACTAAACATTGTAAAAGGAACCTGAAAGCCAAAGTCATTAAGAAGTAATCACGTTGATGGCCTTGTAAGGAAATAATTTGACATATTAAGGAGTCAGCATTTAAAATACTTTTCTATTGATGAGCTATATATTGGTGATTATTATTGTTATTATAATTTTTTTAGCTTAAGCTGAAATGTTTTCACTCACATTTTTTTATTTATAACAAATTAGTTTTAGATTTAAAAATATCTTTATTGTAAATATAAAATAAAATAATTTTATTCTTTATTTTAAACAATATGTTACTGAAGATAAGGTATACATTTTAACTGAATTAAAATGACAGGCTGGTAATCCTATAAAAAACTTAGGAAACTTCAGTGGTGCATTTATAATACTATATTATTACTAAAATTGTTGTTTACAGTATATTAATAACAGAATTTTAAACCAGTGGAGCAGCAAAGTTTGAAATATCAATAACTGGATAATGGCAATTAAATTGATTACTCTGTCTGCAGATAAACCATTGTGTCGAAGAAAAGAGATTAAATTGATTGGCGCTCCATTACAAGAACCATCAAACGTGGAATGTGAAGTTGATGCTTTTCCTCCACCAGACACATTTGAGTGGGCACTTAATAATTCCGCCGGTTCAATAAAGGTCGACCCTGTAAGTTTACTATATAAGAACTCAATTATAAAAAGCAATTCTTTACTTATTTATATTACTTACACATACTAGTTATTGCAGTCACAAAGAAGAAACGAAGTTTTGAATAAAGTGATAGTTATAGCATTTTTATAATATGACCTGCCACTCACTTGTCAAGGGTAGCAACTATGCCACATATTCTTCCTATGGGACAATACCTTTATGAGAGAGACTTATGTTTTGCAGTGAACTTAATTATAAACAACGAAAATTATTTTAATGACATACAAAGTAGCATAATAACTATAACTGCAAACATTTTAGAGCCAGATCCCAGAGCCATCAGATGTTACTTATTTTCTTACGAACGAAATATGTGAGATTGAGTAGTGTTAGTATGTACTATGATCGCATGCCTACCTGCTAGCTTGGGCAGACGGCTATTTTCCAGGTATCAGGTAATCAAGGTACGTAAAAACATTACTCACCTCACGTTAATTCTCCCAGCGTATGTGTTAGATAATATCGTTAAAATCAGTCAATACTCCCAGATACTTTCCCTCGGTAGTATCGCTTTGCAGATGCTTTAAGGCTCTCAAATAAACTCAATTTCACTTACCTTCTGAAACTCCATTTTTATATATGTTAGCCAGACAACTATTTTAAAACCTTATACTTGAAGGCAGACCGATCCAAGGGGCAAGCATCCCCAAGACCCAATTTTAGTGCCTTTGCGGGTATGAGCGCTAGGGCATTATCCGCGCGCATGAGCGTGAGTAAGATATGTATTAGTATGATGTTGATCTCTCTTACAGTTTTCTCATATCAATTAATTACAGATAGTTAAAATAAATCAGCATAAAATTTTAAAAAAAAAGCTAAACAATTAAAGATCAACTTATTATCCCTATAACTATTTTATCTAACATTTGTTACGTACCTTAATAACCTGATACCTGGAAAAATTTTGGAAATTTACGTAAGCGAGTTCTTTATTGAAAAAGAGCTTAGGTATTTGGAATTTATATTATGCACAAATAACAAAATTTGTATTAAAGCGTGAGAAATTGAATGTTACTGGGTACGATTATAGTAAACTTAATGATCTTTAGGGTTGGCAACGCATAATTGTCTCCCCTAAGGGTACGGGATGTTGTCCATTTTTACACTCTATTATGTGGTTATTAGGTAAAATGATTGAATCTCTGTCAATATCATTTCACATCAAAGCACCAACAATTTTATCTAAAATAAAATGTTTCATAATTTTCTATAAATAGAGAATTATATTTTCTAGTTTACAAACCTAAAGGACTGAATAAGAGCTATATAAACATCAACATATTAAAACTAAAGTAATGACAATTTAATTTATAAGAAAAGTAATATATTATTCACTTGGTGTTGAGATTCCTTTTCTCCCCTGGAGTTTGTCTGTACCACCATATTTATTTTTCTACCGCCAAATACTACTGTGTTTTGGTCTGAATCGTATAGAATTGATACTTGGCTGCAGGTGTTCATTAACTGCAGTGTGGACTGTATGTTTCTTATTTCAGTTGGATAAAAAATTATGTAGCAGTTTCAATTTGCGACGGTACTCTAATGGTTAAATATGCGGACTGCAAACTCGGAAAGTCGAAAGTCGAAAAACACGTACTATCGTGACGTTGACGTGTCGTGTGTCACGTTGTGTGTGTCGTTTCATGTGACTTTAGGCTTAACTGAAGTGGTAAATGGGAAATGACTAGCCAGCTGAACGACTAGAGTTAACTTCGGTCCAACTTTCTTTTTTTTTCAAAATGATTCCTAAATATGCTGTTTATGATTTTGTCACGTAATAATGCGATAGTTTATTACAATTAATGTTGATTGAATGTTAAGTTACATTTTTGTACCGTTCTCTTTCGCTTCTCTAATTTGAAATAATTTTTGTCCCAGGACCGATTCTCAATAGATGCAAGTGCAGGCAAATCGGTACTCACATACGTACCAGTATCTGAAATCGATTACGGAACTCTGTCTTGCCGAGCAACAAACTTAGCCGGGCAGCAAATTTCACCATGTGTATATACTTTACTGCCAGCCACAAGGCCCGACCCACCGACTAATTGTACAGTATATAATCTTACGCATGATTCACTTGATCTAATGTGTTTAGCAGGTATGTTTATTCGTATTTGACCTTGTTGTATGAAATATTTTTAAAATATTTTGTCCTCTTCTTATAGTAACAATTTTTTAGTTTTAAAATTTTCCTTTGTTTTAATTTGAACCATTATGCGCCTTATTATAAAAATTGTTTTATACTTAGCCTCAGTTTTAAATTAGATTTTGATTTAATTCTGTTTTAAAAAAGAAGGCAAATCAGCAAATGTCAATATATATATATATATATATAATATAAAAATGAATCGCTGAATATGTTGCTAAGCGCAAATCTCGACAGCAGCTGAACGAATTTCGCTAATTCTTGTTTTATAATATTCCTTGAAGTTCGAAGATTCGAAGGTTCTTACGGAGAGAAAATTTTAAAAAATGCCTGAAAAAGTCTAAAGTCAACACTTTTCTATATTCCCATGCAAAAGGTTCGTAATAATACTTAAAAGTCAATTCGAACTTTAATACCATACCATAAAGTTTAAGTGTTGTTAGTGGAGGGGTTCCGGGAAGGCAAAACAATTGAGTGACGTTAGTATCGTTGGGGTTTGGTTGTAGTGGCTGTAGTTGGCTTCTTGCCCACAGAACATCCGACTTCGAATGAAAGTGTTAACTAAGGTTTTCATAGATCCCCAAATTTCTGACAATACGTGTATATTATTGTTTTATACTTGGTAGAAGCCAGCTATATTTTGGTTGGAGTACGTATGGGTTGTTATGGGCATAGTACAATTAACTTACAGCAGGTGGCACGCGTATAGTACCGACACATTTGTAAGTTATATATCGTTCAACATCAATGAATGCATTGGCATTCCTAATAACTCTTCCAAATTTAAAACGATATTACCACAATTATTTCTTCTGTGGCTGCAACGCGCCGGGTACCAGATAGTATAATATATACGTGTGCAAATTCAGGAGAAAATATTTTTGGAGAAATAATAGTAGATAAATGATACAAATGCCTAAAAGTAATAGTAGAAGTATAAAAGTTATTAAAATAATGACGTATTCTATCATATTACATGTAAAATGAAACATTCACATTTAATATACGTCAAAGTGGATATATTCCCCCGACATTTTCGTTTATACTATATTGCCCTTATTACCAAACATTTTAATTTACTGTCTGTTCTCATTTGGCAACGGCCCAGTTTACAGCTTCTATGTATTATTCCAAATTATCATCGTAATTGCTAGTTATCTAGGTTTCTACACAATTTAGACTGTTTATTTTTATACCTAATTGATACTCGGTAAAGTACCACATGTAATATTGACATTACAGCGCCTGGGGAAGCAAAATTAATGCCTGAAAAATCTAGTAGTACCAGTTGCACTTCAAAAAAATAGCTCTAAATAATTATTTTATTATGTCATCATGTGATTTATATTTTACAAGATAATGTTAAATATAATAATTTATCAGTTATATTATTTATGATGACTATCGTCAAATGTATGTTATATTGCACATGGTAACAATTATTTAGGTATTTATTTAGGACGAAATCCTTATTACCTTTTCTATAGTTACAGTTCGCGTGACGGTTATTTGTTTAATAAATGTGTTATAGGATACGAAGGTGGCCTGCAATGCATTTTTGTAGCAGAAGTGTGGGCTAATGACGGATTAGTTGTCAATGCAAGTAATGGTGCTGCGTTATGGAATCTAAGAAGACTGGGAGCTAAAAGACAACTAAAAATAATTGTGTATGCAGCAAATGCAAGGGGGCGATCAGAACATGTAGTGTTCACGGTAGAAACAGCGCCTAGAATATCTCCGAGAACTGGTACGACTAAAGGATATAATAAAATACCTTTTAAATCTTGATTTGCTCAATTAATTTATAATGCTTTAGAGTACTTCGTTATGTCATATTATTTCACTTTATATTCAAAAAGTTCGACCGACTAACATTTAGTTGTTTCAATACATTTTATCCTAAATGTCAAATTTTAATTAACTCAATCTAATACTAGTTAACTTACGTGAATATTTTTTTAATAAATAAATTGAACGACGGGGCAATATTAAATTTAAATTAAGAAGTACATAATTAAGAAATACAGTTTCAATCCTAAACAGAAGCACAAGAATCGTGGGAAGTAAATTGGGTAGTGGGAGGAGTATTGGGAGCAGCATGCACTATAGCGCTTATATTGTGCTTAGCGCTCATCGCTACAAGATTAAGGCACAGATCGCGTGATTACGAAGGTTAGTCTATCCACTTTATCGTTATTTATATATCTATTAGACAAAGAGAATTGAGATTAGAAATCCATGCTATTCACTATAATATTGTTTATATTTGTGATTAATCTGACATTGAAACGAATAATTAAATGTCGTATAATTTTTGTGACAGTTACAATGCAATTATCGAAAAATCAAAAAAACACGCCGCAGAAACGGCAATCTCCGGATGATCGAAATCCTGATTTGATCCCACTTAATAAAGGTAATTAAAAATTTGACGTATGCTGTTACTTTGGCTTGTTTTATTTTTATCTTCGTGCCAATTTTTGTCTGCTATATTTGGATATATAATAATTATAAATTTATTATAAGTAATTGTAACCACATTCACATACAAATTTATGGAGTTTATTAGAAATTAATTTAAACATTTAAATAGGAGTGAATTGTCCACCTGATCCTCCCCACTACTCGACTGTGGTCAAAAAACAAGAGTCTAAGAATTCAAACGGTGCTAACAGCTTAACAAGCGCTCAAACACCAAGTTCTCTACTACCACCGCCAAGCCATCATTCAGAAAGTCAGGTTAGAAATTTGCTTAATCGACTCGTAGTGCTTAATTTATGTAATTTATTTAATTAATCCCTATTTTTCATAATGTTTAACATTATTAATTAATTCGTCAAAATTTTTAACAGCTGTTATAAAGCCTAGAGAATAATAATGAACTTTAAAGTAATACTAAACAGGAAATTTTAATCATTTTCACTTTACTTATTATTACTTACTGTATAATTTTTATTTCATCCAGTTCAAAAATAGAATTATGTTTGACGCGTGATTTTATGTATGTTTCGCGATTTCTCAGAAACGACTGGACCGATTTTAAAGATTGTTTTTTAATAAATAGGTTACGATTCAGGGAATAAAAATATTTCAAAGAAATGTCAAATTCGCCAACACTGGAGTGGCGTGGCAGATGTCCATCTCCACAACCTTCTCATAAATGAGAGGAGGCCTGTGTCAAGCAGTGCGACGAATATAGCTGTAACTTATTTTTTACATTTCGCATGAATTTGAAATATATGGAAATTTTTATCGCATGCTGTTGGCTAATCATTTATGATGATGAAGAAAAATATATTTTGAACTATTATGTTAGTGTGTATGGCAAGTTAGTTTCATTCCTATATCCCAAATTATGATAAATTTGCGTTAATTTTAAAATTTACAACTTGTTTACGGTCCAGTGGAATATTTAAAGAAATTTTTATGTGGACCGGTTAAATAGCATAACTTATTTATGTAGCAATTCGATCCCAGCATAAGTCTTGCATTTCAACAACTTTGATGGAGCAACTGAAGCTTTTTATCAAACAGAAATGAGTTTAAGAATAAAAAGAAAAAAAACAGTTCTAATACTAGACCGTGCAAGCAGAAATAGGTTAAGTTTGTTCATTCAAATGCAGAAACACTGCAAAAATACTGCTACAGAAGTTGTCTATTCTATTATTGATTTCAACCAATTAATATTTGAAGTGAGTAAAAAAGTAGAAAAAAGTAACAATAATGGTAAATAGTGAATAAGATCAAAATAATTTCAAATAGTTAAGTTAAGTAATATGTTATACGCAATACCTTTGTCAATTGTGAATTGATTTTGATGGGTATTTTTATTGAATGGGTTATAATAGGCAGGTAATTCAGGAGTGGTTATATAAATTTATATAACAACCTCTAAAGGTGATAAAATAGAAATGATAAAGTATTTAATGTATCTATTTAAATGAAATTCTAGTTATTACCTACAGACTTCAGAATATGAAATTATTTTAGTTCTTTGAAGTCGGCTTTCTAAATTTGTTGCTTAACGTGGCGGCATTCGGAAATCCGTCATTCTATCTCTCCTCATGAATGGCAAAAGTTGACTTAGAATTAGAAGAAAGATCTTCCATAATATTTCTGCCAAAAGAACATATGCTATAACCAATTTATATAAAGTTCATCCTATATACGTCGCACTGCTTATCAGAGGACTACTTTAATTTCTAGAGGGAAATAGATCAATCACTCCAATATGTAAATCATACGTTGAAATTCACATACCACTCATGTTAAAATATTATATTGATTCATGATCAGCAATAGACTGTTATTTCCTAAATAAGTAGAAGTCTTTTCAATATTGCAATAACTTTTATTTTAGGTTGACCGAAGCGGTATCAACGGCACGGCGAGATTGCACAGAGAGGTCGTTACTACTAGGACACCTTTATTAGCAGCACATCAAGAAAGCTGTGTTTAATTTTCATAAAATATTTTTAAGATAGAATAAATTTGGTAAAAAATATTTTTTTGATACTAGAAACACCTTTATAACTTTTATGTTATCCTTATGCAGAAATTTGAGGATAACGAATGAAATATCTGGCACTTAAAAGAGCCCCTAAATTTTGAGTAAATGAAAACTTGATGAAAGCTTTAGATAACTTCTTATTAGATTTGTTTCGAAACAAATGGCGTTGGAGAGTGACACAACTCGTGTTAGGAAAAATCCCGTCAGTAATAATTAAATATTTGTTTACATTTCTTACACGGCATGAACAAAAATAATATTATGGTTTAATTTTAAACATATTGTGAAAATTATTTTCATTTGAAATAACAGCTGTACTATTTAAAAAATAGTACTATTTTTTAAATAGTACAGCTCAGCTATATATATATATATATAGCTGACAGTGATATTCAATCTTTTGGACCACTTAATTTTTCATATTCTTGTCGTCTTTTGTACAAACGTGGCATTCAACAACGAAAACCAAAATTAATAAGTAAGTAAATTAATTTGAATAAGGCACTACTGCGAAAACATATATCTTAATAAATTATTGAAGGATCATAAAAAGTAGCCAATCTGTTAATGAATTTATGCTTTGTTTTATAATATATTTTTTTATATTTTTCTTGCATTGTTTTAGGATTTGTGGTTAACTCAGGTTATTTCTTTATAATTTATCACATTTATATTTATTGTAACAACTATTAAATTTGATATTTTTATATGATAGTAATATGAAAGCGGAAATTCGTTTTTAAATCTGACAAAATAATATATAGGTATGCTTCACTCATAAGAAACGCTATCACAAAACTGAAAAGTGAATATTTATATTAAAATAAATACTTTAAGTAATGATATTCAAATCTTTCTCTAAGAAACCGACTGATGTAAATGTACGATATTGTAATAAATTATTGAATATAAATGTACTAAAACGATTTTCTTATAGATGAAAATCTTGATCATAAATGTAAGATTTCTTTTGCACAACATGACTACGTCATGTACAAATCAATTACTAAAAGAAACTTTCGTTTCTGGTCGTTAGGTAGGTATATAATATAAAACTGAATTGATGTTAAGGGAAATTGGCATAAATTATAACATAAAAGTAAGTCATAAATAAATAATTAAATTCACTGTATTATTTGGAATATATTTTGTTACGAACAATACCTTTACTTATTATCTATACACACTATATGTTGCTGTCAAAACTCATAACCGGTCAAAACTACTTTGGACTGCAAAAATCAGGCAAAAGTAGTTTTGATTAAGGACATTGGACAAAACAACTTTTAACTACAAAAACATTGGGTTATGACCAAATTATATCGGTCAAAATTAGTTATACCTAAGAACAATAGTCACTACTACACAACTACTTTTGACTTATACTTTTTGAATTTTTAAAATCAAAACGTTCAGTTCTTTCAATATAATATTTTATATCATTATAATGTACGCAGCTTTAGGGTGACCCAAGGACCACCCCAACCGCACCTTAACCTACTATCACTGATATTGCTACTTTTGACTAATAGTCTGAACTTTAAATCAAACAAAACCACTTTTAAATAAGGACGTAGGTCTAAACCACTTTTGACAACACATATCAGTCAAAACTGTTTTTGACTAAGGGAATTCCCTTTTATTGAAAGAATCATTTTTGACTGATTTTTGCTCTCAAAAGGGGTTTTGATCGGTTATGAGTTTTAACTGTGACATATATACAGGGTTATGTGACATATATATAGAAAAAACAAAATTAACATTCGGTAAACAGTCTGTTGCATGCCTATGCAGCTAGTCTATTGCTTTCGACATTTCTCTTTAATATTATAACATAAATTGCATAGATAAAAATAGGTTTTCTCACAATGTTTTCTTTACGTCCGAGTATGTATTTAAGTTTAGTTGTAATTTAGTTTTGAGTGCTCTTATTCTAATGCCCCCATGGGTAACACTCAAGTGAATTAATTCTGCCTTCTTTATATTTCAATTATAAAATTTAAAAAAATATACTAGTAGAATAAAGTGGCCCTCGGGATTCTTTTAAAATGCGTTATTGTAAATATTAAATAAAAAAATATATTGGCTATACTGTTTTGTGATTTTGTTCAAAATGTTACCAATTTTGCAAAAGTGAACGACATGATTGTTCTAACAACGTCTTTTCACGAAATAAAGAAAAACCTAAATAAAAATTGTTCATATTATTAAATTTAAAATACGTCTGCCGTTTGATTGTAAAATAAGAAATAAATTGCTCAGAGTAAAAATAAAGAAATCTTTATAATAGTTATATATGTTATTTTAAACTTATATTTAACATCAAATACGATTGCACTATGCAAATTTAATTGTGAATAATGCGAATAAATTATTGCCATAAATGAAATCTTTAGTTGGACAAGAATTTATATATTAATAAATTAAATGGTACGAGTATAAAGCTTGATTTTCAATGGTCCCTATAGTGTAAATTGTATTTATTTTGAACTGCAATGACGAAATCGTTCTTTTTTTTTTATAGAATAGGGGGCAAACGAGCTTGCGGCTCACCTGATGGTAAGTGAATACCGCCGCCCATGAACAACCGCAACACCAGGGGAATCGTTCTGAATGCTTTATTTTATATTATATTTCAGCAGTTATTCAGGTCTTGCTGTACAAGTACCACTGCGACCATTATGACTAATTGTCACAGTTTTTCATAGCTAAATTCACCGCAAAGCGAATTCCACTGCTAAACATAGGCCCATAGATCGTCTCATAGGGGGGATATTCGTCAAAGTTGCCACGCTTGGCAAGTGGATTGGCAAACGCAGGGTTTTTTTTTTTATTTTTTGTCGTTATTAGGAAGACGCTTGGCTGGACGCGACACCCACGGGATGATATGGGGTAGTGAAGATTCTTATACCGCCACTACATTATTTTTATTATACTAAGCCAGTGCTTAACTACAATCTCATCTGATGGTAAGTGGTGATGTAGTATAAATTGGTGAAGCGCACTACTTAAATAAAGCCTATCCCCTCTTGCCATGAACACACACACATTGTAACCGTATGGAAAGACAGATGCTGCTTATAAGATAATAATAATAATTCGCCTTCAGAAAGGGTTTGTGTAACTTAAGTTGATTATAATATGCATTTTTCGATCATGTTTGTCTCACTCACCAACAACTTTCCTTCAACCATTCAAAGGTAGGGAAATTTACAGAGATATTGTAATTGTTATATAAAACATTATGGAGACCAGATGTTTGCAGCCCAGTCATCAAGGGTTAATTCTAATTGGGTAAAGCTACTTAGGTGTGAGTCAAACCAAGACGCAGCGAATGTCATTTAGAATGGTGACCCTCCAAACAACCATCGCAGAGACGCAATGCTGCAGAACGCAACAAGCATCAATACAGCCACCCTAAGGTCCCTCATACGTCCAGCATACTTTCCCACTCGCATACTTCCATCGACCGGAACCACAAGATGCGTCGAATCAGGCGTAGCACACCCGCAGCTCCATCACAAGATGCAATACGGCAAGTATCATTAAGCATCAATGCAACTATCACACGGCGCCCCCTCACAACACAACCACATGATCCCTATCGACGACTTTGGCAACAAAATTGGTACTATATTTATATTAAAAAGAAAGCTCCAAAATACCATACGAGTAGTAGCATGCTATAAAGACGCCAGTAACCAAAAATCCACGTATCATAGAGATAATGCACTTAGACATGGGAGCTGTGTATGCTTGCTGCGCTTAAAAGTACTTCCAAACACACTCCCTAATCCGAAAGTATGCCGACGTATCATAAAGCTATGTGCTAAGATGCCGCCCACAATCTATAGTTGTGCGCGATGTCCACGGGCAAGTCGTATTGCTACAATAAGCCCGATCATCATCAGCACTAAGATAATATGCCTAAGACATATCGGTTAGCGTGTCTACGTTTACCGCTGACAAGCCACTATAATAATCCTTATCAAGTCCCATTTCTATCAATATAATACTTAAATATGATTGAGACCTTCCACATATTTGGTTTATTTCATAGACCTTACTATCATATGTTTTATATATATGAAACTTCAAGCCACAACTCAGCTATTATAATGCTTATGCATCTTAGAGACTTTCTATATTATTGCTTTTGTACCTCAGACCTTATAATCATAAGTCCTTAATATGGGACTATACATTGCGCAACAGTGCTTCCGTAGTCAATCACCTCACCACCATATATAAATGTATGACTATGAGTATGCGTCTCCAGCAGCTCCCTTATAAAATCAATCATTAATGGACACGCTTGGTAAATTTAATAAGTTTGACTTATTTCTCAATTTTAATATAAAACATAAATGATATTTATCTTTATTATTGTAATATAATCGACTTGTATTTCTATTATTTAATACATGTTGAATATTTTAAGGAGAATTCTGGTAAATTCATTCATTTTTTAAGACAATATACTTAATGTGACGGCTCCGTGACGTGTGACGCAGTCGCCTAAAAATTAGTTGGAGCGCTGAGGGCCGCGGGTTTGAATCCCGCACGGAACAAGTATTTGTATATCACTACAAATAATTTTCCCGGGTATGGATATTTGTACTTGTGAAATTTATGTATATAAACTGCCCCCACGATACAGAAGGAAATCTTAGTGTGATTTTTAAAAGTAAAATAAAAGAAATATATATATAGAGGTTTACCTCTGCGTTGCGCTTGGTGAGTGCAGGTGGCCGGAGGCCCAATTCCCTCCCCCCCATCAACATGGTAGTGGAATTAAATACAAGACTACCCAAGGAGGGTACCAGCACCCCTGGAGAATCCCTCGCTGAGCATCCACGACCAAACTACTTCACTCCTGAGCGTGGGTGCTCAGGCTGCCCCGCGTATTCTGGGGGGGGAAAAACTCCGCTCGTGACTAATGCTGCTCG